ATCTCAAGCCTCTGGGGTCCCCGCCGACCCACCGATGGGGAAAGGGGGGGCCGTTGGCTCCGCCAACAGACTAAGTGCCTGGTTTTAGTGCTAGAATAAGGAGAATTGATAGGAATATCCATGGTCGCCAAGTTAGTAGACATGTGAATAGCTCTAGTCAGATTTCGGGCAGTATTAGATGTGATTTCGGCAGATGGATAGTCCAATGATTTCGCAGGTATAGTCAGACACGAACTCAATACCACGACTCGGGGAATATATCATGTTTCGGGTCATAGCCATAATGATCAACCGGTGTAAATAGGTTAACAGGGCGTTGTTGGTGACACGGTAGCCCTTCTCGGGAACCTGCTTCCTGGTCGAGCACCAAGGCGTAGGTTATAGGTTATCCCGTAATCTTGGAAGTTGCCTGGTAGACAATAGGGCCTAGGTACGATATCCGCTTAGAGGAACGAGGAGCAAATTAGCCTCGTCCCAAGTGGCGGCAAAGTACCTAGGACCTAGGTAGGTAAGCAACAACGGGACCGGTCAGGGTCATTGCGGCTCTCATCCGTGAGCAACTAGAGACAACCATTAGCTCAAAAGGTGTCAGCGATGGTGACAGCGTCGGATCTCTTGATACAAAATCTCGGCATACGGCATATGTTATGGGCTAGTCGCGGGTGACCTATTGAAGAAAGACACAGTGAATAGCTGTCGTACTACAGACAACGATCTCGTTAATCGTTAGTCTTGGGAGTATTCTTGGATTAGTTGAAGTTGGATTTCCAATTCCATCCTAGGTGTCCATCTAGGTGTGCTGCTGCACAGTTGATTGTACCTAGTATAAGCCACCACCCATATGCCCCCCATGTGCCACCCATAAGTGGGAGGCCTGGCGGATCTAGACCACCAGCAGGGAATATGGGAAGATCTGGCAGAGGAGACCAGGCGTTTGGAATCTGGCATTGGTGACGACGGTATGGCATAATGGAGCGTGATGGGACATGATGGGGGGCTCAAACTGCCGAGTTCAAATGACGAAAGGAATTGAAAAGTGGCTCTTGAGCATTATCCTAATCGAGCCATCGACAGGTTTTGCGAAGTGGGGACGATACAAAGATGGGAATTAGAACTCGGCAGATGTTGAAACTCACAGACTCGCTTCTCTCTCTCTTACCCATCTCGAATTCGATTTTGCCGCCCGAAAAAAAAAAGAAATGAGAAATGGCTGACCACGTGCAAACGCAAATTGAGATTTGCATTTCGATGTCGCAGATTAAGAGTTCCAAGTTACATAACAGAGTTCACTTACGTAAGTGGTAATGCCTCCACATCCCGCCTGCCCGCGTCGGATAAGGGCTTCGAGGGAAAAGCAATTGCACGAAGAAGCATGCTGTAAAAAAAAAAAGTAAAATCCGATCCCGTATGACAAAGTTAAGGTTAAGAACCAGGTTAAGGGTCCACGACAGGCGCCTTCCATTGGAAGGGGCGTCCAATGTTGCCTGTACGTACAAAGGTAGCATCGATTTGGCTGTTCCACCACCTCGGGAATCGTCATGGCCGGAATTTCCTTTTTCTTTTTCTTCCTCATAGCCTGATTTAACCCTTTTCCGCTGCCCGGTCCTTTTGCTTCTTCATCGCCTCCATGTCGCCCACGAACCACCTACCAGCTACCTAGGACCTAGGTACCTATGTACTTAGGTAGGTATGACTATGTACTAGGTGGTCACATCATCGGAATTCCAAGATCGCTCATACTCAGGTTAGTCGTCGACCCTATGCCGCCCATCTTCCCTTAACGCGCGTCATGTCGTGAAACCCACCGGATGCAGTTCTATTTCTCCCGGATTTTCCCAGTCCTCAAATGAGGCGAGCTAACGGTCCGGATACATGCTCGCTTGAGCTCACCGATAGCATTCTAGGCTGTCTAAAGCTGTCGGTAGTCTGTCAGCTGTATTCTCCGATATTGATCATAGGTGGCTTCGTATCTGAGGTGGTGTGGGTTATGTATCTTTTCTGCCTCAGCATTAGACGCCAGTTACTTTATTTCATCACTATCCTCGCGTCTTCGCGTCTATGAGATAGACGGGACTTCTAATTTTGTACTCCTCGTTAATTACCGCGATTCTCGAGGAGGCTATCACACGAAATTGCGCGCTTATTTCAGATTTGTCGCGTGTTTTCAGCCGGGGAAATTTCAAGCGGTCTTAGAGTTCCGGCAAATAAGCCCATGTAAAGCAGTCTAATAAGATTTGAAGAATATGCCAATTCTTATGAACTACCACGGGATATATCGTATGACGCATGCGTTTCTTCAGTGAGTGAGTTAAGCTCCAGCGAATATGAATCGAATAAGATGGAAAAATGACTGACCTTAGACACAGTGGAGGAATACAGGGGCAACTGAATTCATCGACATCGTAGCTATCCTATACTGCAGCTAAGTAGGCCGCTGAATGCCCTTCCCGGCCAATAGAATCAATCCATGTCCCCTTCTTGAAGAATGAATACCTTAAACTAATGCAAGCCATGTATTCGTGGACAACTCTGGCCAATACCTTCCCGCTTAATGGCTACGGTCGCTGAAATCTACTCTACGCCAGTCATGTCTGAGATAGGCCGAACTCCGGGCGAGCGATGGGGGTCCTGGACTTCGTGGTGGCGGATAGCGAGAGGTTGGGGGCAATTATGCCATTTGCTGCTGCTTGTGCGATGGTGGTCTGCCTCATCGTCATGAAGCTGCGCACTTGGTCATCTGAGGGACTGAAAATCGTGATCTGTGCAATGCTAAAGTGACGGTTTATGTCCAGGGGGCTGATCGTAAGGAAGATGTTCGATAGGTTAGTCACGTTGATGACTCCCACTGGATGTCGTCACGCTGCAGTAGTGCAGGCCCCGGCCAGATACTTCCTCTTGAGCAGCATCAGAATCCGTCTACGACACAACAGTCCCGCCGCTGGATACTTTACATCGAAACTGATTTCGGAAAGCCATCGATGAAGTGTAAGAGGCGTTTGCGCGTAGTAAATGAGACCTGGAAGCTTAGGAATCCGACTGTCTACAAAGTGGTAGCTACCTAGGGACTTGTTGAAATAGACGCAGGTTATGAGTATCGTTGATATATATTAGAAGGTTAAGTTACTAGGACTACTGTAGTGGTCTGTGATAGTACATTATATACCCTAAGATACAGGGCGTAAACTCCCAGCCACCTTATATTCCAGCAGGACTTTACTTGGCGACACTTTAATTTGACGCCCTATGGGCTGTCATAGACTTGGGCATCTTATAAAACCCAAACCGAGTCATGTATTCTCATTGTCCCTATTCGTCTATCTCGTGACCTCGTTCTAATAGTGAGATGATCTAACTAATATGTACATACCCCGAATTGAAAGACTCCCGAATCCGTTTCACGTGTCTTAAGATGTGCAGAGAGAATGGCCGTAGGACGAAAGTCCCCCCCCCAAAAACACACCCCGAAAAAATAAGAAAACCCCTATCCCCTTAGCTTAATCATCACCACCACCACCCACAACCAGCCCCTTAAAACTCCCAACCACAACCGCAAGCGATCTAAGGATCGTTCGAGCAAGTGCCAGTACACTCGACCATAGTCGGCGCGACCTGCAACGGCGCCTTATCGGGGTTAAGCGTGTACGAGCACATATTCTCCCTGTTCGCGCACTTGCCCAGCACCAAGTTATTGTTCAGCCCGAACGCCGCCTGGCCCTCGTACAGCTTATCCCAGTGCGCGTTCCAGCGCGTGACGTTGTACGCCAGCGAGAACTTGACCTCGAAGCCGTTCGGGTCGACGGGGCCGGAGGAGTTGCCGTTCGAGGGGGGCACGACGGCGAGCTCGAACGCGCCGGCTGTGCCGTCGTCGGCGCCAGCGGCGGCCGTGTTGTTGCAGTAGCCGGTGAGAGAGGAGTACTGGTTCGGCCCCGAGGCCACGCAGTCCGCGCTCGTCGGCTGGAAGGGGAGGTACCCGCCGCCCTCGGCGCCTGGCGCCGGCCCCGCGGACACCTGGTTCGGGTTCTCGATGTGCACCTTGATGGTCACAATGCCGTCGGCGCCGAGCCGCGACGGCGGCAGCGAAATCGTCAGGTCCGTGATCTTCCACGGCTGCAGCGGGCCGACGAACGGGGTGGGGTCGTACGCGGCTGCGAGGCCGGACGCGAGAGCTAGAGTTGCGAGAGAGGTCTTGAGCTGCATGATGTTCTTTTTTTTCCCCCTTTTTTTTCTTAGTAGGTAAGAGAGACCGGTGAGGAATTGCAGTGTCGGATGAAGAGCTGATTTGGCGATGTGATAATGTTGTGTTGAGAAAAATGCAGGTTCCCGTTCCGTCTCTTTATGTACAGCTTCAGACCGCTCCGAAGTTGAATTTCCCAAGCCCGAAATATACGTACGAGAAAAGCACCACATGCATCCTCCAAGTTGTCACCAAGTAACGTAGGACAACAGAGTAGCGCTAGGCGATAAAAATAGAGTTACTGCTGTTCTTCTCCATCCCGATTCCCTGGGTTGAAGAATACGAAGCTTTTCCAGCTAACGCAAAGGGTTAGAAGGAGCCTGTCGTGTTTTGATAGGCACAAACTCTCCGTGGAGGGTCCCGGCTAAATGCAATGACGTCCTCAATGGATACATGTTGGTAAGCTGAATTGAACAAGATGCATAAAAACGAACAGCGAACTGTCTATTTCTTTCGATTATCGCGCGAGTCTCACATCGCCCTGCATTGACGTGGTTGTCCAGCCTGCGATGGTTATATTTTGATGGTACTACGTTGCAATCCCCTGAATTTCTACCTCTAGGGCTAGTTTTACGTACGAAGAAGCCCTGAAATCACTGAAATTTCAAGCTGAGGTACATAAGGCTTCCGATTGGGTCAAAAAAGGATGCCATTCACGGGATTAAAAAGCTTAAGCCCTAGCCTGGTGTCACAGCATTAGCTACGCACAACCTGAACAACAGGTTAAAAAGGGATGGTGTACTTTGCAATGGAAAAGAAAAAGGATTCCCTCGGACCGGAATCGAACCGGTGACTTTTCGATAGACAATCACATCTAATTATAGTCGAATGTCATGACCAAATAGACTACCGAGGGCTATGTAAATAGAAGACGAAATGTTTAGAAAAAATACTACCTATTTTGCTAGTACTGTTGACTACCTGGGGTCCTGTGTACCTATTCAAGCTCAGCAAACAAATAGACAAACACTAAACAGTGCCGTTGAGGATGCTATCAAGCAATTCGACATCTTTGAGTAGCTGTTTATCGCCGAGCCTTGGCCCGACTATCTGCAAAGCTACCGGCGCCCCCCTGAAAAGCTCGGGATCATCTGTGGTGCCAAAAGTTAGCTAGCTACTACAACCCGGAGTCCTATGTTGGGGCTTTGCATACACATATCCTGGTTCTTCTGATCCGCCTCGTGCTTAGGTACGAAGTGGGTGTCCTTCGGATCGAGAGCCGGGTCGGCATGGGTGAAAGGTACGATGATGGCAGGGTACTAAACAAACAATACCACGTTAGATCTTCGCTTAAGGGGCCATTTGATTCGGAGGGACATTACATCGCACACGTTCCAAGCCACCGTGTAGATGTCGCTGGTCCAATCGCCCGGCAGTACGGCCGTGTGGGGACCGGCAGGCGCCAGGACGACGTCGCAACCCACCCGCTGCCACTCGTCCAACATCTCCTTCTGGACCTGCCCCTTCTTCGTATTCCACATCCACGCCTCCTCTTGCGTCTTGGGAGGGATGTCCCAGAACCCGATCTTTATGACACTTGGCACCACGGGCTCTCCCGACTTGGCAAACTCTTGCTTGGGGTATGAGAGCCCGTCAAGAGTGAAAAGCTGCTCGGTGATATCGCGTATGCTGACGAAATCCGGCGGGTTGAACTCTTTGATCTCAAACCCGGCAGCTTTGAGTTTAGACACAGCTTCTCTCATAGCCCGACGCACTGGCGGGTGAGGAGTTAGTCCAGATTCGTATATAACGCCGACGACGGGCTTCCGCGACGAAATATCAAGCTCCATAATATTCGGAATGACAGCAGGATCGAAGGACCAAGGCTTCGCAGCTCTGACTACGCTGGCGAAAAGGTCGAGGTCGCGCACCGAATGCCCTAGAGGGCCTGTAACAGCCGGAATTCCTGTGTTTGATCCCGTCCAGCCAGAATAAGAGTACCCGATCATAGGAATGACTCCGAAACTGGGCTTATATCCATAGATGCCATTACAAGCTGCCGGTATTCGAATCGACCCCCCAACATCAGTGCCGACACCAAGAGCGCTGCATCTGAAAGCCTGACTCGAGCCTTCGCCCCCACTACTTCCGCCGCTAGTTAGACGAGAGTTCACGGGGTTCTTGGAGCGCCCAAATACATTATTGTCGTTCTCTGCGACAAGCATAGTCTGAGGCACATTCGTCTTAGAGATGATGACTGCCCCCGCAGCTTGTAAGAGTTCCGGCAACGGTGACGTTCGGTCAGCTGGCTGGAAGACTCGAGACATGTATCCATTAGTCGAATCGTACCCCTTAAAATGGAAGCACTCTTTGAAAGTCATCGGAACCCCATGCAGCGGACCAACAACTTTCCCCGTACTCTTGAAGATATCGTCTAGTTCCTTAGCTCTCTTGAGTGCATCCGCGAACATAATCTCAGTGAGCATGTTGCATAGCTGATGTCCTACAGCAGCACGCTTGCAAAATGCCGTCACAACTTCTAAAGCTGTGAGTTTGCCACCGGCGATGGCAGCAGCTAGAGAAGTCGCATCATACTCTTCGCTGGTGATGGCTAGCTCTGCCGGAGACAAGATCCCGCCTGAAGTAACAAAAGGACGAAGGTCAACCGTATCCTCCGGCGGAAAGTCCTCTTTCTTCAATTTCCACTCTGCTGGAATCCTCGAATCACGCTCGGCATACTTGGCTCCTTGCAGTTCTTTCCAGGACTTCCTGGGAGCTGGAACGTTGCTGTCACCCATCTTCAAATATCGATATATCCAATATGTCCAAGAAAGACATATCGTAGAAAACATCCAGTGAATATACGTTGAAATAGGCGCGGCCCCTCATATAGGCATACGGCGTAACCTCGAGGAATGGCACCCCCTTTGTGGGAGTGTGGGGTATAGGTCGGCGTTGGTATCCGAAGTATTGGGGATGAGATGAGGGGGAGCTGAACAAGGGATATAATGAACTTACCTATTACCAATTTTATAGCTTTGCAATATGCTAGATTATCAGATAATCTAGACCAAGATGCCTCAAGAAATCCTTCTCTAACTTCAAGGTTGTTTTTTCACGCTCTCTTATCTTTATTATGATAGGACACTGCCTATCTGATGAGTCGCTTCTTGGAAAGTTGACTTCCTCTAGAATCAAGCTTACAGAGTTACGCAAGACTCGCTGGTCCGAGTATAGGTTCGCGTGAGAATACCTAGGTGGCATACGATACTTCTCCAAGCGGAGCTGATAGGTCGGATAAAGTACCGACAAGACGCCAACACCACATCCTACCCTATAGTAACCAATAGACGTAAGAAGGATCTTATCATGCATGTGCCTCAGCTATCAGGGTCCCGTATATAGCATTTAACAGCTCCTCATCTTTCACAAGCTTGTGAGGTTGTTTTTCCCTCCTGAGGATTACTCTCAAGATGGATGCGAAAATGACCAAGAAGAACGAGACCTCAATCGCCAAGAGCCCGGTCGACGTCGAGTCGGGGATTGGCCTTGAATTACCAAAAGAGAATGCAATACAGCGTCTAATCCACCGGCGAAATGATCTTAATCAGCTGGGCAAAGATATGCTACAAAAGTCGCTTCAATATGACAGGGCACAGCTTGAAGCAGATGCTGTGAAGGTTCGATGGAAATTGGATCTTTTGGTGCTTCCGATGGTATGCCGATTGGAACTTGCATCCTACTTTGACGAAACTCGTTCCTAACGTGAGGGCCTTCATAAAGATGATGACAACGTATATGTTGTCGTTCCTCGATAAGCAAACGTACGATTCGCTCCATGTTTCGCCGATGGACTTTTATACTAATTATTTGTAGTCTGAACTACTCTAATGCGTATGGCTTGCAACGCGATACCAATATGTCGGGCGACGATTATTCGTGGGTCGCTTCCGCATTATACTTTGGTTGGCTCTGTACGTGATGATCCTCAAATATTGAAGAAAACACAAAGCTTACTTCGTCTCCCCAAGGCGGCGCCTGGCCGTGGAATATGTTGCTGCAGCGCATAGCTATAGGGAAGCTGGTGGGCTGCATGTTGTTTATTTGGGGAATTGTATGCATGCTGCAAGCTACCGTGTTCAATTTCAGCGGCTTTTTTGCTGTTCGCTTCTTTCTTGGAATGCTCGAGGCGTGTATCTCGCCAGCGTGGGTTCTCCTAACTTCGATGCTTTGGACGAGAAAAGAGCAGACAATGCGAAGCTCTATTTGGCTATGTACCAACGGTGTCTCGAATATCCTAGGATCACTTCTCGCTTATGCCTCGGGCTCAGCGGAAGGATTATATATTGCCCAGTGGAAGCTGATTTTCTTGGTATACCTTACCTTTCCTCTTTTGAATCTCTATGACAGGAGCTAAATGATGTGCGTGCGTGTAGATAGTCGGCGCCCTTACTTTTGTGTGGGGGTTTGTGATCTTACTTTTCCTCCCCGACGGACCGCATAACGCAAAGATGTTGACAGAGTACGAACGTGTCGTTGCCGTCTGGCGTGTCTCCGAAAATCAGATAGGCCTAAAGGATTCGACCATCAGAACCTACCAGATTAAAGAGGCCTTGTTCGATGGAAAGTGTTATTTATTATGGATGAGCGCAATAGCAATGGGGATCCTCAACGGCGCCGCGACCAATTTCATGTCGGCTATCATCAAAGGTTTTAATTTTGACGCACTCAGGGCATCTCTGCTGCAAGCTCCGGGAGGAGCATTCGAAATTGTCTTCTGTCTCTTTTTTGGACGAATCTCGCAGATTCCTAACATGGTTGGCATAACGATCATGCTCGGATGTTTGCCCGGAATAGCTGGTCTCATCGGTATCCTCACTATCAATATCGAGCATCGATACGCGCTTGTTGCAATGTGTTGGCTGCAGAGTGTCATTGGCTCTCCGATCATCTTGAATTGGACACTTCCTGGTCTTAACATAGCTGGGCATACTAAGAGAAGTGCATCGATGGGCATCTATTTCGTGTGTTTCGTTGTTGGAAAGTAAGTTGAACCGCAATGATCGAGATAACACGACGAGATCTGCTAACAATATTGAACTTAGCATCATCGGCCCACACCTTTTCCTATCCAACGAAGCACCGAGGTATCCAACGGCGATCAAAGGTCTCCTCGGCACTTATTGTGCTGGGATAGCACTCCAGGGCTTGTATACTCTCTGGTGTTGGGTTGACAACCGAACGCGTGACAAGCTGGGCCAGCATGCTGAGGTAGAGGAAGAGTTGATGGAGGGTTTCGAGGATTTAACGGACAAACAGAACAAGCATTTCAGATATAGGCTCTAGTCTTAAGCAGTATATAGATGGATTGGGACTTCCGATATGAATTGAACCTTAAATTCGCGCATTAAATAAAGTTAAGCGCGTGCAACAATCTGCTCAAATATGTAGAAAGCAGGAGAAGAAGGCAGCTGCCCCCCAAAAACTTTCGCTGAGGTACCTAACCTTGGAAGCGCGGATATCCCCACTCCACCACTCCACTCGAGGACCCACACCCCAAGCTACAAAACTCCAGCTCCCAATCCAGCGACTTTTTTCTTCCTTTCTATTTTATCAAACTTACCTTGAGAAATCAACGCGAGCTCAAGAATTCGCGTTGGTAGGACGGGCGGCCTGCATTTCACACCGCGGAGCTGCCTGTCTTTCGGCGATGCCTCTGGCATTTCGATTCTTGTAATTTTTGCTGTCTTTCCCGCGAATTCACTCGCGCGCATTTTCGTTACACTAGTCACTGCTCGTGGTGATGTGAGGAAGATGCAACGACCTTAGTTTCGCGGCGATTCTCGACTGGATCTACCAACTCGAGTACTTTCTTTATGATACGTTTCAGTCTCATAATGGTCTACTCACTCGTCT